TTTTGTCTGTTATAGTATTCTCATGTGATCTTCTTAATGTTATTTTCATATGTAATCTTATGTGATTTTTTTCCATTATATGAATTTGAATCTGATGGATGTCTTCCAAATACAGAAAAAAATAGTCATAGTAAAAGATTATTAAATAATATTAACAAGGACTCAATGTCAAATTTAACTATTAATGAAGATATTTCTTCAAAATTTGGTCTTCAACAACATAATCGACCAACTATAAGTGAAATAATACTTACAATATGGATTTATACTTTATTATGTGAAGGAATTCGTCAAGTAAAATTGAAATTTTTTCTATAGTTTGTAAATTATTTGATTCTTATCTTGATTAGTTACTATCAATGGAAGTTCCATCAATGTATAGAAAATTAGGAGCATATTTTACTATATTTTGGAATAAATTAGATGTTTTAGCTATATTTCTATTTTTTATTGCTTTTATTCTCCGATTTTTACCAATGAGTCAATGTTTTTGTGCAGCACGAATTATTTTAGCTCTTGATTTATCAATTTGGTATATAAGAGGACTTGAAATATTTTCAGCTGTAAAAAGACTTGGACCAAAACTTGTTATGATTGGTGAAATGGTAAATTCGTTAATTTGATTTTTTTTTTGCTCATATCGATTTCTTTTATTTTTCTTTTCATTTAGGCTCAAGATCTTAAATTTTTCATGTTAATGCTTACCGTATTTTTATTAGCATTTGGTGTACCTACTTATAGTTTAATATTTGGTGTTCAAAAATTCTCTTGGCATATTCCACGTGTTATATTAAATGTAGCTTATTGGCAAGTATTTGGTGAACTCGAAGTACTTGATGATATTGAAAGTTTGTTTCTTTTTTTTTGTTTTTTGAATAAATTTTAACTAAAATGTTTTCCTTTAAGAAAATTATGAAATAAGTGGTTATGTTGTATTTATACTATTAATTGCATATATGACGGTTGCAAGTGTTCTTTTAATAAATCTTCTTATAGCAATGTTCAGGTATTATATTGTTTAAAAATAAAAACAATATATATCTTCATTTTTCTTTTTGGATAAAGTCATACACTTGATCGTTTACATGCAGATACAGATTGTATATGGAAATTTCAACGTTATTCATTAGTATGCCATCATTTAACACGACCATCACTTCCACCACCATTAATTATATTTTCACATATTTATCGTCTAATGATATATGTTTTTTCACGTATTTTTAAGAGAAAATGGTTTTATACGAAAAATATTGAACGCAAAAATCGAGAAAAATTTAGTAAATTTAATAAAATGAATCTTTTTCTTTTCAATAGAGTTGTTTTTTTTCTTTGTTTCTATTAAATAGAAATAATTATTAATGAAATGTTAACGAAGAAAATTGAAGCAATTGAAGATGCATTAGGAAATGAAGTTTATTTATTTTCATTAAAAATTGATCGAAAACAAATTGATTATCAAAATGATTTTAATGAAGAACGAGTGTAAAGTTCTATTTTTATTAAATAAAAATGTATAAAATTTATTTATATTTTAGATATTCATCACAAGAAATTATTTTAAATAAAGTAAAAACACTTGAAAGACAAATTCAAGTAATACAACATCGAGTAGATATTATTGTTAATCTTCGTAAAAAATTATTTCATCTGTTGTCTTTTTTTTTTGTTTCGTTTTCATAGCAAGATGATATGTTTCAATATTTGCAATGTTTAATGAATGGAATGAAAAAAATCGGTGGTGATGATATTGAAATTCCTAAACAATGTTCCATTGATTGTTTACTTTGATGTATGTTTATAATAATAATAACAATTTTGTGTAAGACAATCTAAAAGAAATGTTGAAGTATATAGGGTAGAAACTTGGACCATTTCTCTCCCACGGACATAATAAACATATCCAGGAAATCAGAGCTCATTGCGATATTAATGAGTCTTTGTGGTCCGATTTTCACAGTTACAGTATCCTAGCATCTCAACATCTTTGTTAAGATATACAGTAAAAGTATGTAGCAATTCAAAAACTTGCATATATGTTCCTGTATCTCATTATTTACAATATAAGTAGTTCCACCATAATTCATATTTTTATTCTGTAGCGATTACGCTAACGGCTTTTTAAAATCACAAAGGGAAAAATGAACGCGAGTCATGAAACATTGAAAAGCATCTATTTTGTCCGATATTTTGGATTGAAATTAGTTCTAGAGCGATCTGTTCTTTAGCATTTTTTATTCAACACTATCGAAAGGGACAGTTCAAGCATAGGAATCAAAATTTTGAACCACACTTGCCATCCACAGATTATGACGGATGTTTGAATTTCCACTTTTACGATGTGAGTATCTCCATGGGCTTTCATATTTTAATCCATTTAGACTAAGACAACAGTTCGATTAATAATCTATATTTAGTGATAGTTCTGTTTAATTAATCGCAAAAAAAAAATGTTAATGAGTTTTAACACTTGTGTATAACAGTTTGATTGGTTTACTTATTGTTATTTAGTTTTTAGGACATTGAAGTGTTATTTATTTGGATTTTTTTTAATGATTTGTGTATCAAATTTAAAATTTCTATTTATCATTTGTTATATAAAGCGAACCGACGGTTTTGAATAATACAGATTTTTGTTGTGTGCATAATTGAATATTGTAACATTTTCTGACTATTTGTAATAGAAACTGTTCATGTAATCTTTTGAAAAAAAAAATAAATAAATTTTACAATGTTTAATATTAATTTAACTATCAAATGTTTCAAGTGAAAGAAAAAGAAAACTTCTAATTGAAAGCTTCTTGGTGATTTTTTTCAAACACGACGAGTAAATCTTGCTTGATTTAACATTCTTATTAGAACGTTATTATTTTCATTAAAGGTGTAATGTAAATGGATAGATGACTTGAACATGCGCTGAGCGGGTGTAGGTGAGAGATAAATATATCGCCTACATGAGGTTGTAGGTATGGGTGTGCGTATATTCTTTCTCGAAACTCACACCCACACCTCGCGTCATCTGTTGACGCTACCAAGATCAGCTATACTGTAAAATTAACGTCATTTTTCTCTAATCATACCATCTGAAAGTTTGTTACATTATGTTAAAGTAGATTCAAAACATGCATATTCACAAATAGCTTTAAGTTCTCTAGCTAAGCAAGATTTTTATACAGAAAATACATTTGATCCAAATCTATCTAATTATATGACTCTTTATTGTCTTGGTGAAAAGTCAAATGCAAAAACATCTTATTACAAAAAAAAACGATTTCTTGATATTTGTTTGTAGAATAAAATATGAATTCTCATTTGCGGTCAATCAGACCGACTGATTCAAAATGAATTAAGAAACACGATTAGCCTTTTTGCATAGCAATACGAATTATATTGGTTAATTCACTTTGATTCTTTAAAGAGTTTGTAGAATGATTGTTACATTGAATACACCCATCAGGATAATGATGAAAGGGAACGATGTTGCTATTCTGCAGTAGTATCCGATAAACAGCGTAGAAAACATTGATGTAGCCAACTGTTTTTTTCCATCTTCGATCGATTTACACGATCGCCAATCCACAAATGAGTCCATGAACGATATTGATAGTCGATTCGACAGGTGAAATTTTGATTTATCGACAAACGACGTGTATTTTTGATGAACCATTCCCGTGTTACTCGAGGTTTACGCAGTTTTTCCACTGTGCCAATCTGACAATTTTTAACGAAGAATGAAGCACTTGATAAATGTTCGAATCGGTCAATTAAAATCGCCATTTGTCGACGAGTATTTACATAAATTATCAATCGTTGAACATATGGAAAAAACTGAGTCCATGGAAGCTCTTCATCATTCAAAAAGCTTGAATAGTGAGGTAGATTTAATGTACGAATGTTGACGAGAGGCATGATATTAGTAGGATGGGAAATTTTCCAAGAGAAAGGACATGTAATTATAAGATGAGAGAGCATCGGCATTAATTGATGAATCAGTTCTATTAGCATCTCTAAAGTCCATTCTCCTATTTGCACAGTCAACACTTCAACTTTTGAAAGATCAAACTGTTGATGATCAAAGTTTAGAGTTGAAAGTGACAGCTTCTGAATGTTTTTATAGCGATATGTCGAAGTCTTACTATTATCAATAATGAGTTCAGTGATATGATCATAAAATATACCATGTTGCTCTCTAGGTAAAGTTGTTGTATGATGTAAAATTGGCTTTGACAGATGTGAACAGATCGTTGGAGCAAATCGAGGTACAGTGAAAAGACTCAATGATTGACGATCAAAGGTTACGAACCATTGTCGTTCTTGATCAATCCAAAATGATGTTTGGAAAGGAGCAAGTATAATGCCCGCGTTAACCCAATCATATGTTTGATAATATGCTAATTTGAATTTAAAATCAAATTTAGTGAGCATTGATAGTTGATTCCTAATAAATATTTCCCACTGGTATCCGTCACATAAAGAGTGATGACCATTATAATTAACAATCAATTCTATATGTCGAAGAGAAGGCATTCGTAAGAGAAATTGTTGAATTGAATCTCGTGAAATTGAAACATCAAAAAAAAAATAGAAAGACATTGAATTAGATTAGATTTATTACTTTCTACACTCACTTTGTAACTTCATTGTCATATAGAGATAAACAAGTTTGAATGGTGACTCTTGATCATTATTAATCAAATTATTCATTTCCTTTGAACTCCAACATATGATAGAAACATGAAGTGAAATTAGATTTGATGCAAGACGAAGTATTGAATACAATCGAGAAAATGAACATCTTTCTAAAGATAAATAGCGTAGACGAGGTAACTGGATAGATGGAATTAACATTCCATGATTGGAATAGTCATCAGAACAAGAATTTACAATGATTCGTTTTAGTTGAGATGCAATGAAATTGATTGAAAGGATGGGGGTGGATTTCCTAGCAAAATCGGCCCTATTTGAAAAT